CTCTATGGTCTAAAACAAGCTCCTAGGGCTTGGTACAAACGATTGAACAAGTTTCTAATTTCAAATGGTTTTCAATTGGAAAAGCGGATACCACTCTTTTTGTTAAAACTCATAAGAACGATATGATCATTGTTCAAATTTATGTTGATGATATTATTTTTTGGTGCCACTAACTTCATCTTTGTGAAGAATTCTCTAAGTGCATGAGCATGAAATTTGAAGTGAGTATGATGGGAGAACTTAAATTCTTCATCGGTCTCCAAATTAAGCAAACTTGTGAATCTTCATAAATCAAAGTAAGTACATTTTCGATATGCTCAACAGATTCGACATGGATGATTTGAAGTCAATGAACACTCCTATGAGCACATCCATAAAATTGGATAAGGAAAATCAAGGTACGTCCGTTGACATAACAAAATATCGAGATATGATCGGATCCATTCTTTATTTAACCGCAAGTAAAACCGATATCATCTTTAGTGTGTGTTTATGTGCTAGATTTTAATCAAATCCTAAAGAGTCACATCTCAAGGCCGTGAAACGAATCTTTAGATATCTTAGTGGCACTATTACTTTAGGGCTTTGGTATCCTAAGGGTACTCACATTGATCAACGTAGCTATTCGGATGACAATTGAGCCGGGTGCACAATCGATCATAAAATTACTAGTCGAACATGTCATTTTCTAGGTTTTGCACTTGTATTATGTTTTAACAAGAAATAAAACTTCGTTGCATTGTCTACCGTCGAAGCCGAATATATCTCTGCCGCTAGTTGTTGTGCACAAGTTCTATGGATGAAACAAACTCTTAATGATTATCACATATTCTTAATCACACACCTGTCAATGTGATAACACTAGTGTAATAAATTTATCTAAAAATCTCATCTTGCACTCGCAAACGAAACACATTGAAATTAGACATCACTTCTTAAGAGATCACACACAAAAGAAAGGTATTGTATTAGAATTTATAAATACGGAAAATCAATTGGCCGATATCTTCACTAAACCTCTAGCTTTTGATTGTTTTTCACATATTAGAAGGGGTTTAGGCATTGTTGATCAATTTGAAGTACATGATTAAAATAACATGCCCTTACATATACATCATACTAAAAAAAAGGAACGGTTCTGTCAGATTTATAGTCATCTCTCTCCCCCTCCCTCCCCCAAATTTTTTCTTCATTTTTTCACTTCCTCTCTCTCACTCTTCTTCTTCCCTTCCATAGATCCACCTTCAATCTTACCAAATCTTCAATCAATCTTGTAGATCTACACAATATTTCAAAACCCATCACTTCTTCTTCTCCAAAATCCAAAAATCCCCATTTTTCTTCTACTACAACTTTCTTCTTCTTACTATTTCAATCGACCGCTTCTTTAGCAAATTTCTTCCGTTCTTCATCATGTCACGGGTCAAGATTTCAAGAAACCACGGAGGGAGAGGGTTCCAGATTCTTCTTCATCGGAGGATGAGCTCGAGGTGTTGAAATATCACTTTGATAAATCACCTATCCTTATAGGTAAAATTGTAGATTTTGCTAGTTTTAAACTTCAAACACCTGAATTTCATATTGAAGAATTCTTCTTAGGTATGGGTTGTGTCTCTATTGCACCCATGGAAAAATATGCTTATTCTAAACTCATGAGAGATTTTTACAAAAACATGGTATACATTCCTCGTATGGGTAGCATTTCTTCTTTTTTAAAAGGAAACCGATTTATGATAAATAACGTTCACTTCTTGGGTTGGAAGAATGTGCAAACCAAGTATTTCGTCATATGGCTCACCCACGATGTGATAACTAAAATCCTATCATTGCACGTCGGAGAGTTACCGAAAAAGATTTTGAACATCCGACAAAACTCGGTTCCCACCAACTTACATTACCTTGCAAAGTTTTATATCTTATCATTGCCCACATTATCCTCTCTAGGAAGGGTCATCTTGATGAATTTACTCATTTCGACCTATTTCTTCTTGATTCCTTCCTAGTCGGACGAAAATTGGATTTTCCAACAATTGCCATAGGTTACATGAAAATTTTCCACTCCGCTACTCGTATCAAGGCCTTATCATATGACATGCTCTTCACTAAGATTTTTAAACATTTTAAAATCCCTCTCAATGGTGAGGTATTCAACTCCCTCCGACCCATCGACACTATCAATATTTACACTCTTAAGCGATGAAAATTGTCAAGGAACATGGGCAATGGGTGGCCTGTACTAAAGGATTTGATCCGGACTCTGGACCTTCGAATTTACCTTTCGAAGGAGCTGAAGACGAGGTTTGAGATTATCGTGAGGATGACGCGCCACAGATTCCTAGTCCTCTTCTTGACATCTCGGGATCGAGTGCTCCCTCACTTACTGGAGGCTTTACTTTTACCGAGGATCACTACAATCTCCTCAATGGTCGCATCGATTCCCTCACATCCTCCGTCGACGGGCTTGGTGGAATATTTCACTATTTGCAAGTTCAACAGGATGCCATACAAGCTCAACAAGCGACAATGCAAGCCCAGCAAGATGCCTACTATATTTATTACTCCACTCAACAAGAGGCAATGCAGGCTCAATAGAACTCCTTTTATGCTCGGTTCGATGCACTCTTTCCTTCCCCGCCTCCTCCAGATTCTTAGATATATTTTATGCATAAGTATCTTAGACCTGATGTTGCTATATCCTTTTGTATTGTTACTATTCGTTAACTTATGCTCTAACCTATCTATGCAATATCCTATGTTATAATCTTAAATTCTTTTTGCTTACGACAAAAGGGGGAAAATATGATATGATGATATGCTTGATGATGATGATGAGATGATGATATAATGCTTGAATACTTGAGATAATAATGGAAAATGTTTTGCCTTCATAAACATATGTTTTAAAGTGTTTCGATTATTGGTTTGTAAACGAAATGGGGAATATATGGATCACATGAAAATTTTAGAATTTATATTCCTTACCAATTGTTCAAAATTATCTTGCAAATTATCTTGTTTGTCATAATAAAAAATGAGGAAATTGTTGACCTATGGTTAATTTGAAACCGCAAAGTTTTGATTATAACAAACAAGTTGGTCTTATTTACTAACGAGTTGTTTTCAAGTGATTGTAGTTTTTCAAACACGTACAAAGGAAAATCGATCAATGGTCGTCAAAAGACCAAAAGCTATCATTACAAATTGGAATCTTGAAAGAAGTCAAGATCGAAGCCACATTCAAGATATGAAGAGCTAATCTTCGAAGCAAGATCAAATACTCATTTCTTAGCTAAGAATGTAAAGGTACTAATACTTTGATATATGACATGAATGACAATAGCTCAAAACCGTTCCATAGATTAAAAACTACTTAGTACATTAAAAAGCAATTCGAATACGATGTTTTGATCAAATGAAAAATGACTTTTAAATATTAACTTTTGGACTTGTAAAATAATTGTTTATCTTAAAAAGTTAGTGAAAAAATGCTCACTAAGAGACCATACTTTTCAAAAGTCTCAAAGCAAAACAAAGCAGTCAAAAAGTGGACCGCCGCTATAATGGCGGTCGACAGGAAAAACTCCAACGGTCCAAAATTTGACCGTTTTGACTTCTAATTTTTCCTGTACAAATGGTCATATTAGTCATTCGGAAATCGACGATGACCAGACCGATCATCCGATTTGACATAAATTTTAACATTTTTCATTTCTATAAATACCAATTCTCTTATCATTTATTACAACGACTTTAGAGCATTCAATTGAGTTTCTTTTGAGCCAAACTTTGTATTGATCTCTCATATCATTTACTATCAAATCGTTTTGGTGTTGAAAAATCTTTGATCAAATTAACTCTTGAAAATCATTCTATACATCGAAGTTTTTCATACATAAGACTTGAGTTTTATTCATTGCTATCTATTAAAGTGTTAACCTACTTCTCTTTCATTCATCAAAGTTTTTCAAATCTAACTTGTGAACTTTATTCATTGCCATCTATTAAAGTGTTAGTCTACTTCTCTTCTTGTACTCAACTTTGAATTTATCATTCATTAAGAAGAGAAGATTTCACTTGTAAATTTATTTGAATTGTGGGTCGTGTTGATGTCCCGTAAAGCTCAACATTGTAAAAGGGTTGGTGCTCCTTACTTGTAAGTCACCGGAAGCTTTGTAAAGGGTTGATTGCACCACAAGTCAATAAACATAGTGAAATTGGCATTGCTTGTGCCGGATAGCTTGGTAACGGAGGACGTAGATCATTGCGTTGAATCAAACCTCCATAATTATATGGTTTGCACTTTCTATCCCTCTTTACTTATTGTTTTCATATTTGTGCTTAATATTTGAATTAATCTATTTAATCTTTACTTGGTTGAAATTAGATTAATTCTTCGAAAAAGTTGGAAAAACTAATTCACCCCCCTTCTTGGTTAGTTATTCTTGGGCTATCAATATCTTCTGGAGACTCTTAGCTTCACCTATAGATCACGAGCCAACCGTCATTTTAAGGGACATGCTGATCTTCTTGCAAGTGAGTATTGGTGCTGATTTTACAAGGCATCTGATTTTTCTTTTCATTTTTTATTTCTCGTATGGCCTCATAAAGTAATTTCTCAAATTAATTTAGTGCCTTTTTCAATTAAGTTGTAAAATATTCAACGGTGTTATGTATGTAAATTAACTGTGTGGCTATGAGTATATGGCATGAACTAGATTTAATTCATATATTGCTTTCAAATTTAATTCATCTATGTTTGTGCAAATATCAAAATTACAGAAAATTATATGGCTTTCTTGTAGGAGCTGTTCTATGCCAAATATATTTCAGAGGATGAGTATCATGCATAAAAAAGATCATTATTACATAGATTAGCAATTCAAGGAATCAAGCTTGATGCACAAGATGTCATAGTAAGGACACAGAAAGAGGTTTCAAATGAAGAGTGGCCAATTATCGATTTGAAGGATGAGAAATGCTTGGTTAGTCAAGAGTACTTAATGTTAAAGAATAAATTGAAACTGGGTTCAACAGTAAAGCAAATTAAAGGAGCTGCATCTGCATCGGCTTTGTATCACCCATTAAAAGTTTCAAGTCGAACGAAGAAAAGGATGATAACAATTTGTGGACAATACCATTTGATCAAAACGTAAGTACCTCAATCTTTATGAAGAATGAAGTTGGCCTTTCTACTGAAACTCCTTTTAAGTTGGGCTTTCTACTGAAAATCCTTTTCCCATATAGTAATTTGATTGAAAAAGGAAGTGAAACAAAGTCCATTCTCATGACAAAGAGCTTGCTAGCAAATTCTGTGAAGATTAACAAGCGAAGTATTGGTGATAAACCCACAAATAAACCTTTTAGAACCTGCTTTAGATAGAGGAACGATGAATGGTAGTGTTGATCATGGTCCAGAACACGAGGAAAAAGAAAAGATGAAATCGGGAAAGAAGCGATGAGAATTTGATGGATTCAAGAATTGAAAGAAAAATGATTCCAAGGATGAAACAATTCCACGTCTCTCAGTGAAAAATTGGATGGTGAAAGTTACACTGGCAGGCTCATCACAAACCTAGTTGCAGAGGGATCAGATATCGAGCAAATCAAGATAAAATTCCATACTGACGGTGCACCTACAGATTTCTTTGTCGAAAAGGTATAACATTTTACTCTCCAAAGGTGTTGTAACTTGAAATATGGATTGTTGAATTTCGTTAGTGGATTATATTGGAGCTTGAAACTTATCTGTTTACTGCTTCTTCTCTGCATTATCTTTATAAAAATTGTAGGTTTTGTGAGAGAACATGAAGAATGAGTTGTCTCGAATCTAAACAGCTTGGTGCCAAAAATCTAAATTTTAATTTGTAATAAGTATTTCTTTTATTTTCAGCTCTCTTTTCGAATTTTGATTAATACGTTACACTACTAATTAATTTGCATTTGTATAGTGGCACCGTTATTACATAGACTAACTAATTACTTGCTATGATTCACCAGAGATGATCAACTTGAAGCAATCTCAATAAGGCTTCCGGTTGATAAGGCTGACCTGAAAAGGTTTTTCCCCAAGTAGTGCTTCTTGCACTTTTTTTTCTTTCTGATTTCTTGATTCAAATACTTGTGTTGATCCAATGAACTTAGTTAATTGGAATGAAATAATCATTCTGTTTTAAGTTATTGCAGAAACGCTCTATATCCATGCTAAAATCTTTCTTGGTTATTTCAAATTATGGTGTGATCGATATAGTGATCTTGTGTTAGATGTGGTAAGAAAAGAATTCAATACGCATGTTGGAGAGATGTGAAATTCCTTAGTAGCCGCCAAGGAGAAGCACAACTTGAAAAGATAAACCACATTTGGTAATAACAATGAAAGTAGTTGGGATTCAGCAGATAATGAGATGGAATCCACAAGGAAAGTGTGTCCTTGAAACCTCTTCTCTGGTTTTAATTCTTTATCATATATTTCTGACTTTTAAGAATTGTTTGAATTTTCATTAACATTTGGCACGTTAACAATACCTTTAAAAAACCACATCCCGTGGAATGCACGGGCAACAAATATACATGAACCACATTATTGAATATTCTCTGTCTTCTCTCTAAAGAACCACCTAACCCCCCGCCCAACACAAGCGCGCCCAGCCTCGTGTAGTCGCCTCTCAGGGCGTTCTCTCCTCGCGTTCGATCTCTCATCGCCTTCGAATTTCCCCCAAATCCATTTATCACAACGATATTGATTCTCAATAAGGAAAAAGATTAAATTGTAAGTTTCCGCTTTTCGAGGCACAATCAATCTAATCATTCCTTCTTCGATAATCGGAGAATAAACTTCTGTTACAGGTCTCCGGCGATGTCACTTGCTGGAGCAGAGATGGATGGCACATCGGTGGCTACGGTGATGCTAAGCCTTAAAGATGCCACGAGTTGGTGGGATGTTATGAATGAGTCACCCGTTTGGCAGGATCGCATATTTCACGTCCTCGCTGGCCTTTCTGGAATCGTCGCCGCCGTTGCTCTTGTAATTAAATTCATTCCTTTTTATGCCAAGCATAATTTTTTATTCATTAATTGATCGTCGAATATTTGAGGATGTGAATTTTAAGTTTCCTTTTCAATGTTTTTTCATATTATTTCCCTTTCCCTTTTTCGTATAAATATTTTGTTGTGAATTGAAGTTGAATTCTTCTTTCTGTGAATGAATAAAAAGAAAACAAAATGCATTTAATTTTTAATTACCAGGTAAAATTACTGGTTTTTTCTTTTAATAAACGTTTCACTCGAAGCCATAAATTTGAAAAGAAAAGTGAGAGAGAAAGAAGGATTAAGCTTTTCTTTGTCTTGATTTCACAAAATAAACTGTAATTTTCAGCTAGTCAATAAAATATTTGATAACTTCCCTATAAGTTGCTTTAAAATTTGATGTGAGGGTGGGCAATTACCTGAAAATTCTCGACCTCGGCTATGGGTTTATTTTTGTTTGAATCGATCTCTAGCAACCTGTTGACAAGAATACAAGGAATGTGAAAAATCTTCGTTTTCTTTATTTGAATAAAATTACTTATTACCTATCTCTACGAAATTGATTTTCAAGCGCTTCACTCTTCTGTATTTATAGTTTTTACTAAACTGGAACATGATCATTCTAGGTACAATTGGTAAGGATACAATGGAGAGTGCCAGAGTATGGTTGGACCACACAGAAAGTCTTCCATTTTCTCAATTTCTTTGTCAATGCAGGTTTGTGTCTTTAGGCTTATAAGTTTTGTATTCATGATTCTGATTGGGGTACGATTTGTTGGCTTTAAACTGAAAATCCCTTTTCTGTTTGTTTAGTTCGATGCTTAATATTTGCATTTCGCCGGAACGTACAAAAGTTGAATCCAGAGGTAGGAAATAATCAATATCTACTTTAAAACATGTTATTGGTTTTGTTTGTATTCGATTATTGATAGTTGTCTGATATATTGTTTGCTATTATGTTTTTGATAGATTGTGCAACATATCTTGCTTGATATGCCAAGTCTTGTGTTCTTCTCAACATATGCACTCCTAGTGTTATTCTGGGCAGAAATTTATTACCAGGTTGGATTACTTACATTTATTTTTAATGCATTCTGTCATTACTTAACAATGAATTAGTCTAATTTTTATTTATTTATTTTTAATTTTTTGGTAGGCACGTGCTGTATCAACGGACGGTCTGAGGCCTACGTTCTACACAATTAATATAGTGATATATGCCATTCAGGTGAAAACTCTCACCCAAATATGTTTCAGTAAGTGGGATGGTTTGGATAAGAATGCAATCTATGAGGCATAGATGGTTCCAAAAATGGATTTTCTTGTCAGCTTTTTCATTTTCCTCTCCCACTTAGATCTTGTTATACTGCCATTTTGTTTGTTCTATCGATGCAGAGAATAATTAAAGAACCATCATTGGATACACAATGTTTAAAAGGAATAACAAAAACATACAACGATCAGTGAAATTCAGCCACAGTTATCCCTCTTCTGTCTCTTCCTTTTCCTTTTATGTTGGAGGGAGGGGGAAGAGGTGGTGTGGTGTGGTGAGGGGAGACGTTCTTTCAGTAATGTGCATTAAGTGGGCTTCCATTATGATACTTTCTTGAAGTATGTATCTTTAGGATGTTTTTAGTGTATCTTTGCCTTCGCTTTATGGATAATGTTATATATGATGCAGCTTGGCTAGGAGGTTATTTTTTATCTTTTGTATACATCTCTATATGCAAATGCAACTTGTTGAGTAACTTGAGTTATGTTCACTTTTAACCCCTGTTTGGCCCCATTAAAATTATAATTCATTCTCTCTCTTCTTATCAACCATACATTTTCCAATAAAATAATATTATACGTAAACCCAAAACATTTGAATAATGCTATTTATCATTATGATTATAGAATATCGGCGATGTGACGGCTTATGTGAAATAATGGGTTTGGTCAGTTCAATTTTTATGAGAAGAGAGGGGGAGGAGAGAGAGATAAATGTGAGGCATAATGAGTTTGTTAAATCACCGATATTCCATCATCATGATGATAAATGACATTACTCTTTTTTAACCACACATTCTTATAAAAACCACTGTTCCAAAAATTATAATCTCAAATAATGGGGGCCAAATGGGAGCTTAATGCATCTGCCGTTCCTTTAATCTTTTGTATGTTTTCTCTATATGCTAAAGCAACTTGTTGATTTATGTTCACATTGGATGCATCTGCTGTTGGATATTGTGCTTACACCTTTGGTGTGATTGCTTAATTAATTTCCTTCTATTGTTCTTCTAAATATTTCGTTGCTGTCTAAAACTTTGTTCTTTGTCTTCTGTGTTATCCTAGTTTTGTCAATTTCCTCTTAATTTCTTTTCTTGAAACATTTATTGTGGCAGTCCTTTTATTTATGCCAGTTGGGATCCTCTAACATAGCCTTGAAGAGGATTTGACCATCTTGAAGTCTATACATCAAATGGCTACTACTTTACATCCCTTTTTGGTTTACCTTGACAGTAATATATCTAGAAAGAAACCCATTGGCAGTTGGTTAGGTCAAATTTGCGGTGTTCTGGTTTGTCTGAGGCTGGTGTCTTCTTGTGATGACATTTGAATTAGCTCGATATGTTGCCAGGTGCAACTATTGCATATGGCTGTGGAGATGAGAATAAGCAATGTGATTTGGATTGTCATGAAAGTTGATCTTTTGAACTTTCATATGGTTAAAACTTGGAGAGTATTGAGTGGAATCTGTTCTGGCTTTTCCTTCTGTTTATATGTTGTGACCTTCTGAGGTCAGGAGAAGATGTGCGATATGATACTAGACAAATCCTTATACAGCAGATCCGGCTAGGTTATTGATAGAGTGAATAGATCTGACATTTCTTGAAATCTCTCTTCTGATTCAAAATCGTTGTGTAACGTGTATCCTCGCCTGTTCAGGTCATGGAATAGATGAAAAAAATCAAAAACTGGAATTTTGTTCAAGAATGAAATCTTATAGGAACTGTCCAAATCCGNGTTCTTGGAAGCTTTATGCTAGCTTTTGTATAAATATGTTTATATGAACTTTATTTTAAGTTTCATTAATTGCAATTGAAACTTTGTAGATTTTAAAAATCAGTTAATTCTGTTTCTTCACCTTGTGTTTCTTTTCTATAATTTCCATAGTGGAAACATGGTCGAAACTTTTAATCATGGTTCAAAGACTCTTATGGCTTAAATTTCTCTTCTAAGTAATATCAAATTACTATAACTTATCTACATCAATTATGACTTCTTGAGATGACTGAAAGGATAGTTATGATGGGTTGACATTATGATGTGTTTAAGATACCTCTATTTTCAAAACAGAAAATTTCTGTATGATTTCATTTTAGTTAGTGTAAAGGTGACACTCAAATAAAAAAGAAACTTCAGTAAAATTATTTTACGTTTATTAATTAAGTTTGAAGCCACTCTAAAGTAGGACTTCATTAATTGCTAAATAGTTGATCAAATTTTCATTGTTATCTGTAGTTATGTTGCAAGTCATATATACTTTGCGTATATTAGAATGTGATGGTGTGGCAAAATGGTAATCAATTGAGAGGATACAATGTTTATATGAATTGCTATATGTATCCATCTGAAGTTTGCATTTATTGGTTGACTAACTGTATATTATAATTTCTTTCAGATGCTTTTGTGGCTAATTATATGGTGGAAGCCCGTCCCAGTTCTGATAATCATGTCAAAGATGTTCTTTGCAGGTTTATATTTTATATTTTCCATTAAATTATATTGTGTATGCATAATTAACTTCAAGGTGCTAAAAGCATACATCCATTGGCAGGCGTGTCTTTATTTGCAGCTCTGGGATTTCTTGTTTATGGTGGAAGGTAATTATGTTTCCTCACTTTGACATTTGACTCTGGTTCTGGAAGTGAGCTTTTTGACAATGTAAATAAAGTAAAGTTGGCACACAATCATATGCACTATCACCTTCCAATGATTTATTGAGTTTTATTTATGTTCTCCTATTGGTTAGTACTCAGTAAACTTTTAAATCATAAATTTGTTTCTATGGCCAAAAAACTTGCTTCCTTGCACATCTTTTTCTACTGGAAGCACAATAATATGGTGTACAGAAGGTTCCTCAAGATAAAAAGCTGGCTTCTACTGTGGTTATGTTAATTATCCATGCACCAGCCATTGGCAATAACGATAATCTCGTAATGGAGTATTATTCCAACTGTGAACACATATGTTGATCAGAAAGGAAAAGAACAAATGTCTGAATGAGGGGGGCTTAAGAGAAATTGATGCTTTTCTACTTGTCAATATCCTTATGACCGAGATTCCTACGAGTTATTCTCATAGGACTCAATGTAATTGTAGAATTTGGTTGATCTGTGGCTATATATTTGGTATCTGCTGGGTACAAGGGTATTGTCGATGCTTTATATAACCGGTGTAATTTTTAACTCTTATTGCCTTCTTCATGCAGGTTGTTCTTAATGTTACAGCGATTCCCTGTAGAATCAAAAGGGAGGCGCAAGAAGCTACAGGAGGTATGTTCCAAGTTACATGACATTTTCTTATCTCTTCAAGCGTTTAGGTTTTTAACTTTCGTTTCCCCTAACTTCTTCACACATTCAGGTTGGCTACGTAACCACAATATGTTTTACATGTTTTCTCATTCGCTGTATTATGGTAAGTCCAGTGTTCTTCATTACTTAGCATCTTATTTTGTGGTTGAACTGGAGGAGTAAAGCGTTAATAAACTTGTTTTATTACAAATCCTAAATGAGATGCTGCTGTTGATGAAGCACATAATATAAGCAATCTTAAATCATTATTTCTCGAAGTATCCGACTTATGTTTCTATTACTGTGTCATTGTCTACAGATATGCTTTAATGCATTTGACAAAGCCACAGATCTGGATGTTTTGGATCATCCTGTTTTGAACTTTATATATTACCTGGTAAGCTTTGTGAATTACTAAAACTAGTTCTTTTTATTTTTATATGGTAGGAGGTTGATGTCAATACAATAATACTGGTAGGTAGTTAGGTAGAATAACTATCAAGATTTCAAGCAACATTTTGTACGAATGACATTCTTGCTCGGGTAGTGATGTAATTTCATGTTGACTTCCTATTATCTGGGCACGGTGGATGAGAACTTTATTCTAATTTTGGAAATTTATTAAAATTCAAAAACAAGGGAAGACAAATATTCAAGACACATTCAGATTTTTTTTTCCTTTCCTTTCTTTTTGTTTGAAGGTTCGAACATTCTCGCGTCTAGAGGTTATTCTACTTGAACTTATTTCTTACTTCTTAATTTTCTATTGTATTTCTCTTTGATTTGGATATTATGCCTCTGTTTTTTGTAGCTAAGTCAAATTTTTAGTATATATTGATAAAAGTTGATGAAATGTATGGTTGAAAAGTTGTGGTAAAAATTAATTGTGGACTTTTAAATTTTTATCAAGATTTTTAATCCATACCAAACAGGGACTATGTTAGAGAAGGAAGAGTGCAGTATTTAGGTGATGGAACAGGGTATCGATTAAGAATTAGATTCTCTACGAGAGCACAAATATCCACCAATATGCTCCAGTCCTATGAAGACAATTTTAAAGTGGAATATTGGTGTGTGGGTGGTGCTGTTGGTTTGGGGGAGGGGGGATCGGTTATCACGGGGAATTGACATGGTAAATATGAGTTTGGAAATGTCTTAGCTTCTTATGGTATTCTCCAAAGAACCAAAATGCATTGCACTAATTCATTCTCTAATGATTTTCCAATGAATCAAAATGCATTACATTGAACAATGAAGCAGTGGGACCCCACTGCCACCTAGACTTTTGCTAAACACCAGTGGTGCTACATAGTTCTTAAAACTGTCTTATAAAATGTGCTGTTTTCTTATTGCTGCTTGATGTGTTCTTATTTTCTAATTAACATTTTTAGCATGTCTGATATGACAATTCTAATATGAAGTACATTGATTTGCAGTTAGTAGAGATAATACCTTCTTCGCTTGTCCTCTTCATACTGAGGAAGTTGCCTCCAAAACGCTTAGTCACACAATATCAGCCCTTCCATTGATGGCAAAGAGATGTTAAATGATGGGAAAAATATGGAGTTGGCTGATGGATAAGTTGGCATTTAAGACAAACCTCTGCCTGAAACGGTCGCCAGTTTGGCGAGTAATGTCTCTTGAACTGTTAAGTTTGTTCGCACTTCACAAATTGTAGATCTTCAGTGAATTGTGAACTAATAGAAAATGGTGAAATGTGTGAAAGTTGTCTCATTGGTCTCTCATAATTCATGGCTTTCATTCTTTCCTTTGTTTTTGAGTTTCCTTTTTACGATCCTTCTTCCGTGTGCGTGACAAGCAAAGTGACGAAATGAAAAATAACTACTATGAAGTTGTATAAATTGAAAAGTTGCAATGGTGAATAATTCTTTCCTCAACAGGCCCGATCTGATTTTAGTCTCGTAATTCTAACAAAATAGAATTTAGATGCTTGAGGTCTATTGTTATTAATTCTCACTTTAGATTCATGCAGAAAGGGTAACAAAAAGAGTAATATAATTGGTAGTTAATCGTGAAAATAATGAAAATGATTTTTATTTTTTTATTGAAAGAGTGAGATAGCCTTTGGGTTCTCTCTCTCTCTTGCCATATAAAGGGGCAAGTAACCGTACATTCATTAAAAAGTCAATTTTCCCAAAATCCATTCTGATAAAATGGATCAAACGTTGGCTAAATCTTTCTCCTTTGAATGTGAGGCAAATTTTTAATGTGGAAATTATAGCCCACCAGAAATTTAAACTTCCAATTTCGAAATTAAGATTTACAAGTTTTTATTACAAAAATCAGATAATAATTAAAATTTTAAATATTAATAATTATATTAAAAATTAAATATACATATTCAGCATATTCAACTACACACACCAAAACCCTAATCATTTTCATCATCTCTATTTTCTATCCATCCTACTTTCTCCCTCTCTAGCCGTCTGCCGCCACCACCTTGCCAGCACCACACTCAACCACCCCACCACAACCATCGCACCCACCAAAAAAGTTCTCAAATTCGTTGCCGTCGCCTCTGCCGATGCTAGAATATTGTAAATTAAAACTGATTGAATTAAATTGATATTAGACTTAAAATTTTACCTCATATTTATAACAAAAAAAATATATCCATTTCAACCAAAATTCAAATTCCAAATTTGAATTTTGACATGATTTGACACTGTAAAAATATACATGTAGCTACATTGTAGCTGCCTTGACAAGGCAGGTTGCATTAGACTTTCAATTTTTTTTTCTTTTTTTAAAGTTTTACATTTTTTTTGTGGCTCGGCTTGTCACGGGCCGCCCGTGTGGCTCATCAAGCCATACGGGCTCGAGTCGACTACCCAAAGTGGGACTCAGCCAGAGCCACGAGCCGGTCAGATCGAACCATGGACCACTCGAGCCGACGAGCCAAATTGTCATCCATAGATTAGAAGAATACTCCATTGACTCTTTGTATAAGAAGTCAATGTCAAACACCACAGAGTTTCAATGTATGACTTTCGTTTTATGTTTAATGTTGATTTAGGCATTTTGTTAATTTGTTCTCAGTATCATTGTAATGCTATTTTTAATGCTCCAGTGTAAATTAATTATACTATTAATCAATCTTGATATAAAATATTGAATAATTAAGTATTAAAGATTTATTATAATGTTTATGAGATAATTTATTCGTATGAGAAAATACCTTTTTGCACGGTTAGACATAATTAAGTTTACCTATTTTATATAATATCTAGAGACCTAATATGCAAGATATTTGGTTCATAACGCCACAGAAATGATCTAATGAGCACCNAGTTTAAACAACGATTTTTATTTGAAAATAATAGTGATTGGTACTCAGAAGGAAAGGATACCCTTTCCCGTTATTGTTTATTACGACGGATTGGATAACTTGTATCCATGTGGTATACTATATGTATATGTATTTAGCGTCACAAATTTTTTTGTTTTCACACCGAAAGGGCTCTGTTCGGTAGAGGAACTTTAGGGCACCCTTAGGGTAATGCGCCAGGTGCTGTACTAGTTGCAACAAATACGTAATAGAAAGTTTGAACAAATAGTGCAAGGCTTAGAAAACTTTTGTACAACCCCATGAAAGTGGTGGAATTTGCCCAAAATTCTATTTTCTTGATCAGTATTAATGTATACTAAGGGGTGATTTTTGGGGGAAGGAGGTTGGGGTTTCCCCCTGTAGTGTAACCCCTGCCCAAACAAAAATATTATTAGAATTTTTTACGTTGGGGGGTTTTGATATATATTTATAGTCCAATTTTTTTTTTTTTTTTTTTGATATCTTACGCTAAACTTAAGACTTGAGTTCTATTTTTAAAAAAAAAATCGAACTTGTTAAAAAGACTCCCAATTTCTTGTTTGTTTGTTTCAAATTTATTCGATGTAAGATTATACTCTAACATATTAAGAGATTTAGTATTATGAAATCAATCTTATTAAGAGGAATAACTCAAATACTTATATGTTGATTTTAATTTCGATACTAAAAATGTGTTCGTTTCCCATTATTTAAGGTGGAAAATGCATTTTTTGACCTTTTTTTCAAAGAAGTGGATCCCACTGTAAGACACAATTGTCAAAAAAAGGCGGGTGATCCCTGTTGCAACGGTAAGAATTTGCATTATAATGGGAAACAAGCAAAAAGTAATTAATGTAGGATTTGTATTTTGATTTTAATTTCGATATTAAATTAATGTAGGATTTGTCTTTAACATATCCCGCAAAATGATGATTCTTTTGAGAATGTCAAATCAAACTATTTTACAGTTTTAGTTAGTTCTAGTGAACGAGTTGGCAATTGAAAAGCTTGTCCTAAGGCTTGATTACTTATATATTGTTTCGAAAATTATTGTTTGCAAAGATGCCATTGGGTTAGTATTATGGATGGTGAGATACATATTTACACCCATGCCTTGTCGTCTGCTAGGTTCTTAGATGTTCGAAATTCATTAAAGGATAGTATATATTCTGATTGGCATAGAGATAACACTGATAGGTTAAGTATATTATAATAGAGTTACTCTATTAAATATTTTTCTTCGCAAGTAATATGGGACATAACTTCTATCAATAAATTAAATTGAAATAAGTATGTAATTATTATAGAAGGAAAAATATGGCTCGATCATTTTCATGATAAAAATATTTGAAAATAAATTTTCTAAAATTTGGAGGCTTTGGGGACTTTGGCACCCGCCTCGTTTATCTAGAGATTAAGCCACCTCTTATTAGTGTTATTAACGTTTGGTATTACTTCCAATATTGAGTTCTAAAGTGAAGGCTTGACTAGGGGTGGCAAAATGGTTGAATAGTTCGTCGGCTCAGCTAGTCAAAGCTCGGTCCATGAACGGTCGGGCTAGTTTCAGGATGAGCACGAGCCCAAGCCGAGCCGGACTCTTGCTCGGCTCATCAATCTCGCGAACAGCTCATGGGCCATGCCCACGAGCCTAAAGTTCACGAGCCAAGATTATGGGCTCGTAAAAAATGTGAAGAAAAATGTAAACAAAAATTAAAAAATTAAAAAAAGAAACTCGTGGGCTGGGCTGGGCTGGGCTCCTGAGGTTACAAACTTGTGGGCCGAACCGAGCTCATGTGTAGATGGACTGAGCACCACTCGGCTTGATAATATATTTTGTCAGTAATCCAATTTTATTTTTGCATAGTATCTTTAAATTGATCGTTTAATCAAGTTATTAAATTAAGGGAAATTTACAACATGGACTTCTCAAGAGCGTCATCTCAAATTTTCGTACTACATTTTATTACAGGCTCTACAATTTTCTTAATTAAATCGAACTACCATTATTAAATCACATATAGACACAGAAAACAATTATACAATTAAATCACATATAACAAAATGATATACTTAAAAGTTTAGTGACTAATTATTGTAGTTGTTTCTCATTCTTTTTATGCGCTCTAATAAAAGAAAGGACTAGAATACCTTACCAATATAATTATATGAAACTTATTAAAATATTAAATCCATAATAGTTCAACTTAAAAAAAAAAAAAACAACAAATTGTTAAATGAATTCAATGTTTTTTTCATAAAAGTTAATTGTATATTCACATTTATTGCTCATTTATTAATTACATATTTTGTGGGACCCACTATTCATTTTTATTTTAATCCCATTATAATTTTATCCAAACAAATTGTATAATAATTTATTAAATTTAAAAAATATATATTTCAAAGAGGTAAATAAAATAGTTTATTAATAACGTTTTAATAACTTAGCATTTGGAGTTTTAAATAACTTGATGTTTAAAATTTATTAATAAACATAAATATTATATATTTGGATACTTAAGAAAAATATAATAGATTTTACTCAACAATTCAATAAATATTATCCAATAAAAATTATATTTATTAAAAGGGTTAAGGGACTCAACTCTTATAAATATAATTTTTTCAATCTTTATTAGGTAAATGTAGGCTGACCTTAGAAATCTACAAGAAAAAAAAATTTGAAACAATTTCGGAAACCATACAACTTCTAGAGAGTGAGAGGCTTGAATATGAGAAAGTGCTAGTTTTTATTGAGGACACTTCTCTATATAATGATGACATAAAAAGAACATAAGTAATTCACCTACAACCATTTTCGCAGACTAGAAGACAGGATAAGGCCCCTCCTCAATGAACAAAAAGAACTCACCGGAGCCGGCGCCTACGACTCGGCGTTTTGTATAATTTAGGGGCGCGGTGCCCCGCGGCATCCCATGCCTGCGCTGAAGCCTGGCTTGCTGTCCTTTTTTACTCCAAGTTGTTTTTCTTCATCTCAAAATCCTTTTTCAAGTCAAACTCCTAATTCTTCGTGAAATTTGATTTTCATTAATTAGCTCTCCAAAAACTCAAACTTTTTAGACTTCTTCTATTCAACCAAACACCAAATTACATGTAATTTGGATCACGCCACAACAAAAAGATAAGAGTAATGCTATTTAGCCCCACTGGGGTTACAATTTCAGTCTAAGTGGCGTTAATATGACATTAAATGATAGATTTCACCTTTCACTTAGCCAATCATTTAGAGCCATATAGACTGGAGTTACAACCCCACTGGAGATGAATAGCATTAATTAAAAGATAATCTCAAAAATCTCTCCAACATAGAATATGTAATATTAAGTTTATACATTGGCGATACAGTTCGAAATTTATCACAACGTATACAATGGAAGCTAGCTTACTACATCAATAAATTCATTAAGAACAATCATACTTTCCAGTTTCCACAGATAAATTTATTTTTAAACATCAACCTTTGCCTCCATGGTAATTATTTCATCTGTACAAACATCCTCTATACGGTGGAGTAAAGTAGTCAGACCCATTGTTGTCGCCATATATTTGAGGTGTCCACGAAACCGGAACTAAACAAAGACCTCGACTCCTCAGATCTACCTCCATGTCTCCCGTATCCAATCCTCCCCATGGATCCTGCGCATTCGCATACACACACAAAATTAAATACATATAAATATGTCTTCTCTAGTCGAAGCTTTCCCCACGCATTATTAAAGTTTTCGTTGGGTTCTGAAAAATGAGTGTCTTTTTTTCATCTAGAAAAACAATGTGGATTTCCTCCCCCCTCCCTCTATAATGCTTGTTTTAAATGATCACCTTGCATGAGTTGTTCTTCAAGTAGGGGCTGCTCAATAGCTGCAGAAAGAAATGAATTACAAATAAATTATGAAGTATATTTTCAAGTAAAAGAATGCCATATATTCTAGTTGCCCTTTGATTTCACCTAATGGAAATCTAAAATAATTATGAAAATAGGAAGAGTCTGTTTCGATGCTGTGATTACCTGTATTTGTTCTTGTAGAAACCTTATATAGCAAATTGTCTCCCATAAAACAGATGCTGTGTCAGTCTAAAACATTAAACCAGCAAATTGTAAATCAACAATTCATGAAAATAATATCTAGCTAGCTAGTCTTCATATATTAATGTTAGTATCTAACCTTTCCGAATGGCGACACGATTTGCTGAAGAACTGTGATTTTGTCTGTAAACTTTACTTTGGGAGCCTGTGTCTAAATATGAACAAAAACATTTCACAAGAAGCATGGTATTAAAGTCATTATGCAACGTTTTTGAATAATGGAAACCATTAAAGGACACTATTTAATATTCTTGATTATTTACTTCTGTTATGTTCCATTAGACTAAATTCGTGGCTCTGTCCCTTACACGACGGATTTCTAACACTGAAGGCCAGATAATTTTGATAATTGGTTAAATTGCATTTACCTTTGGTGATGAGACTGTTGGATGTTGAAGCATAGGCTTCTTCACAACTGTGCTTGTTTCTGAACTCTCTTCACTTCTTTTCTTCTTTCCTTCATGATTTCTAATTCTTTGTGCCCTCACGTTGCTTCTTGTTATTGTAGAGCTTGTTGCTATTGGAGACTGAAACTTTTTTCAGGAAGACCAGGAAAAAAATTTAAAAAATAAGGTAAATTAATTTCATGGTTTTAGATATATAGTACTCTGGTTGCTTTTACTATTTAAAAATTTTCACTTAATATTAATTAGTATTGGTCGAGGAGGAAGAAGAATATATATGACAGGAGAGCTTACTGGATAGGAAGTTTGTTGCAGCCTCTTCTTAGAATCTGATAAATTCACAGTTTCGAGGTCGGATTTAGATGGATTGACATCGATCAATGGCTTGTTTGAATAACAGCTAAAACTTACAAGATCATCCAAATTTTTTGAATTATTCCATTGAGTATCTTGTAAAGCTAATCCACTGTGGTATCTGCCATGATCACCCCCTGTGGCTGTGTTCTTGATAGAGGTCACTTGATATTTAGTCCCTTCATTAGTACTGCTGAACAACCTAGGAAATGCAGTCCCTGTTGCCCCACTGCCTCCTCCTATATTTTCTACTTTCATTTCATGACCATTTCGACGTGACATTGAGCTGAAATTACTATCCATGTTTCCTCCAGACGACATCAAACTGTTGCCACTATGCTTTAATATGAAACTTAATGATGTATTGCATGAACATAAACCAAACTGATGGTTATTGGATGCTGTACACTGATTGCAGTCTGAATTTGACAACTTGTTTAGCCTTTCAGCTTCAACCGAGCTCTCGTTTAACTGTTTGTTGGTACAGTTTAAATATCGGAAATTATTGATATCACATCCATTGTCCATTTTCTTCAAGTAGTCATATTGAGGATCAAACATTCTAACCGGCAAGTTTTTCGAAGAAAATTCATCTAGTAGATTCTCTCCAACATCTTTACTATTCTGCAAGTCTCCATTGCTTCTGCATATCACACAAATTGCCTAAGATTGAATTTTGCTCTTCCTCCAGGCCAGGTAAGTTAAATTTAGATAAATAAACAGGTCACTTCTCTAATAACTTAAACTTTTGATCGAGATGGTTCGACAGAAAGCATATGATGAATACATCTTAATTATACAAGTAACTAAGAATGGCTAATTGAGACAATTATGTCTAATTTGTTCAAATTAAAATTTTCAGGTGCCTATATTTAATTAGTTCTTTTATCGTAATATTCCCCATGCCCTTAACATCTCTTTAACACTTGTCATTAAATTAATAGAAGCAATGGTTTAAATTTGTGCTTAAGAATGAGAGACCCAATAAATTTCGGACAATAATGTTAAACAGTTTAGATTATATTTCATAGGTATTAGTGAATTAACTATCAACACAATCAATTTATAGGCTCAACCCGAAAATAACTTGGGTCATTGAAAACAACCTAATTAGGTAATGTTGTCCATGATCACTATAACTCTTGGATGATCGTTTTAATGTGATGGCCCAATTATCTTAGTGTTGACCCATTTGTTGGATAATATTGGCCCAAGTCTTGATAACCTAAACTAATCTATACATACCGACTTTCATAGTGTTGGAAACGTGTGTGCGCTTTGTAAACATATTAGAGAGAAACTGTGGTTGCTTCTCGTCTCCTTCTTCGTGCCTTTGCCTTCTCTCTGCCTTTGTGGCCTTTGCAAACATCACCATACTTGTGTTCCTTACGGGTATATTAGAAGCAGCAACCAAAGTGATAGGAGTAGTTGTGGGTTGGAGTCAATTGATTATGGTTTGATATTGGTATGTTGAACTGAACCCAGATTTCACAAATTGAAGGTTCATTTCTCTACAATAAAAGTTACATATAAAGGTGCCTAACACTAGTGATGCTATGTATGTAGTATTATTCGAATAGAATAGTTTAGGAACTATATGATTGATCACTCAAGCTATCTTCACCAACCCTATAAACTAAACATCTCTTCTATTCTTGGGAATAAAACATGTTCTTCTCACCTACCAAAATTAACAAAAAATAGCTATAGGGATGCCACTTCTAAACAAGAAATTAAAGATAAGACAAAATAATGGCAACACAAGGATAAATCCAAAATCTTGGAATGAAATTAAATTTTTTTTTTTATCAGGATCCAACAATTGTCATATATACTTACAAAACAACGTGGCTCCAGGATTGATTATCAGAACGCGTTTCGCCAACCAGCTCATCAGTCGAAACACTTCCTACCAGTCTGCGCGACGACTCGACACTGAAACCAGACTGATTAGAAACATTTGTGTACGTCGTAAACATGGAAACATCCTCTTCACCAGAAGAATTGGAGCTGTTATTTTGTTGGTTCCATGGATTCTCTGTAGTACTCCAAGAAGATAAAGAATTTGCATGGAGATCTGGCCACCAATTATACAAACAGGAGGAGGTGGCAGCAGCAGCAGCAGAACTTTCATGACATTCTTCAGCCATATCTTTAAGAATACTGAAATGGTATAGGGGTTTTCTATAATTTCTGTGTTTGCATTCAGTGGGGGCTTTGAATATAAGGATGCATTTGATGGTGAGGTTGAAATAAATTTTGAAGACAGATAATAAAATAAGCAATCTTAGGTCTCCACAAGCCGTGTTTCTTTTTTCTGGCAAAATTTCCACTCAAGTTTGTGCGCTAATATTATAATTGGGGTTGGGCCACCTTAGTTTCGTTGTGTTTTCTGTGTTCTTGTTGGTCTGTCTTTTTATCCACCTCTACATGTTTAAAATATACGAAATAAAATGGATAAGACGCACATACGAGTAATCATATTTTTCTTGAAGGGATTTTAACTTATAACTTTAGCAAACAAGACATGGGAATTAAGGGAGAGCTCAAGAGATTGCCAAAAAGTTGAGCTCGAAGTCGAGAATTTATAATTTTAACAACATATTTCATGGTACTTTCATTTTTTATCAATTTTTCGACCACGTATTTCATCAATTTTTATCAAAGTTTGCTTAAATTGTTATCAAAATCTTTATCGAACAACCCCTAAAACTAGAATACATTGTAACCAAACATCTACAACTTTGCTCTGGATAAGTGTATAATTGGTGCAACAGCTCAAGATTAAGTTACAAAAATTGCTGCAATATACTTTTTATTTCTAGCGATTTGGTTTTTTGCTCACTTCATTCTTGATTGTTCAACACAACAATTTCAGTTCTCTATATAAAGTCAAAGAGTATTCTAAATGAGTCTACCAAAGAGTGGCTCAAAAGACAATTCAATATATGTTGTTTTTACAGTTACTCGATCTTGTTTCTCTTGCCAAGACTTTTAAGTTTTCAAATTGAAGACTTCATCTTCCAAAACCACTTTCAATGAAGTAGGATCTTCAACAACTTTCTAGTGCCTCGAGAGTGTATACACACAGTTTTGATCTCAAAGTGTTAAAGTTTTACCTACTAACTAGCATAATAATGTGGGGTAGCGATGTAGCACGTAGGAAGTATGAAAACACGGAACTCGCGAACAACTTTATAATTTTTGTTAATCCTTTCATGAATACTACAAAATTATACACCAAAAACTCGTTGATTCGCGTTTAATACAGAGACTTTGAACTTTATAATTCGTACAAAATATTGAGAATTGTACACATAATTGAGAAACTCAGTTTTTTATTTCACAAGTCTATATGATTCTGTACAGAAATCTGTTACGAAATAATCTCGCAAGCGTACGGGTTCGTTGTACAAATAATAATTGTGATGAGAGAGTTATCGTCCCACATGGAGTAAATCTTAATTCTAGCGTATTTGATATATGTAAATTCGTGATTGTGACAAAATATATTTGATTTATATTTAACTACGTTTTATAGTTATGCGAGCGATTAATATTTGTTTAAATTAAAAGTGATGAATGTATTGGATTCCCGACTCCACTAATTGACTCTTAACTTCAATTCTCAACTTGTGATAATTAATTCAATCCTTGCAGTTGTGACGATCGATAATTTCACTTCTATTTACTATCATTTCCCAATTTAAGTAAACTCATGTTTGTCACGATACGTTCATATTCCTAATCCGCATTCATATGATCATACATTGAAATTTAGGATTATCGAATAAGATCGCACACTTCATAAATATTATTCCTAATACTTATTATTCATGTGTTCTATAAATAGTGTTTTACTTATTGTGAGTATTTCAATACTATGAATAAGCAACTTATTGCACTAATGGTATGCGAGCATTAAAACAATATGAATAAGCATGTTTATGGAATCAAAACGTGATAATTAAACCAAAAATAACAAGTCTCGATTTAAAAACTAAAAATCAAAGAGTTTCATCATCCATCCAATATAATTAAATTTATCCTAGCATATTAATATAAGAAATACACAAAAAAATAAAAGGAAGTCATCACTCGAATTATATAAATATGAAGAAAATCTGAAAATTTTCTCTTCAAGCTTTCATAATAGGATCCCAACGGTGAATTCCTTATTCTTCGATGTAAGTTCTCTCTCTTTTCTGCTCAAAATACTGCTCTCCACCCTCAAGTCACGGAATTCTCCTTTTATTATACCTCAAAAGATTGCCCTAAAACATTACCAAAACAAAATAAGGAAAGAAGATTTTTTTTCCCGATTTGCCTTGAGGCGAGTGCCTTAGGTGTTTGGGCAGCCTCGACTGAGGCTGCCTTGGTGTGAGGGGCTCACTTTGGGGCCAATTGCGTTTTGGCCCCTCAAATTTCCATAAGCTTCATTTTTTGTATCATTTTCTACTTTTATCAAATCGATGCTCTTCTCTTCATGTCCAATCGAATCATTTCACTCTTGACTTTCGTTTCTCGCTCCAAACTAAGTTTCAATTATTTGCATTTTAGTCCTATTTGTGTCAGTTAATTCCATTTCTTGATCATTTTCTCCAATTTCCGTTTATTTATCGATGTGAAAGTA